GCTAGATGATCATATAAAAAGTAGATCTGACCCAGATGGAGACTCAGGGAAAGAATCCCTTAGGAAATCATTTTCAAGTTGAGATCAGATATTTAAAAAGTGGACTAGGTGGGTGTAGGGGTAATTGCATTCCAGATGGTGAACAGCAGGAGGCCCATGGTGGTGGAGAGAGGGGGGCCTGTTTGAGAACTGGAGCATGTGGTGTGGTTAGGTATGGGGTGGGGGTGGGGTAACAATGAGAGGCTTTGCCTTGAGAACCAGGTATAAAATTTTAGTTCTGAGAAGATCTGTCTGTCCCCTTGGAGGAGCTAAAAGGGGATTTGGGAAGAGAGTTAAAAGTCTTTGGTGAGAGATCAGGCAAGAGACCATGGTTGTAAAGAAAGGAAATTAAATGTGAGAATTTAAAACTTCACACAATTGCATCCAGAACTGCTAATTTGAAAACTTAGCCCTGTATTATTAAACTTGATGTTTTCATAAGTTCCCAAATTTTGTGTTAAATGAGCTTTAAATTACAATATATAAATATAGCATTTGACATTGAATTTCCAACATTTTACTTAAGTACTCTATGAGTAAACTGCTTGCTACTAAAGTTTCATATTAATCTAGTTTATATTAATAAGTGTGTTTAAGCACACGTAAATCCATCTATTAATTTTCCCCTATGGGAGCATTTTTATTTATTTTTATTAATTATTTTTTATGGGTTTTTTCTTTCTTATTTATGTATTTATTTATAAAGATTTATTTATTACTTTAGAGAGAGAGAACATGAGTGGGAGGGGGGGAGAATCTCAAGCAGATTTAGCACAGAGCCTGACATGGGGCTCCATCTCACACCCCTGAGATCATGACTTGAGCTGAAACCAAGAGTCGAACACTCAACCAACTGTGCCACCCAGGTGACCCTGATTTCTTCTGATATATATGTAACAGGGTACTGGAAAATAGCAATCTTTTGTAAAAATGTTAAGAAGATGTTAAAACAGTTGATATTATAAAATGCCAAATAATCTGTAAAGGTAGGTGTCTGTGGTTTGAGATAGTAAATGTCAGACTATGAAAGGGGATCAGCTTGGAACTTACTTTAGAAAGAAGTATTTTTTCTGACAGTATAAATGTTTTTATTTCATGTTTTATGTTGGCTTCATGTTCAATGTGAGGCTTGAACTCATGCCCCTGAGATCCAAAGTCACATACTCTACCAACTGAGCCAGCCGGGCACCCCAATGTTTTTATTTTAGTTAATACCTAATAGAAGCAAAAAAAAAACCAAAAAACAAAAAAACTAATAGAAGCTTTCTTTTTCCCCCTTTTATTTATTTATTTTTAAAGATTTTATTTATTTATTCATGAGAGACACAGAGAGAGAGGCAGAGACACAGGTAGAGGGAGAAGCAGGCTCCATGCAGGAAGCCCAATGTAGGACTCAATCCCAGGACTCCAGGATCACTCCCCGAGCCGAAGGCCAATGCCCAACCACTGAGCCACCCAGGCATCCCATTTTTCCTCCTTTTAAAAAAGATTTTATTTATTTATTTTGAGAAAGAGTTTGGGGGGTGGGGGGAGAGAGAAAGATAATCTCAAATAGATTCCATGCTGAGTGCAGTGTCCAATGTGGGGTAGCATCCTATGACCCTGAGATCTAGACTGGAGTCGAAGTCAAGTGTCGGATGCTTAACTGACTGCACCACTCAGGGGCCTAGAAGCTTTCTTTTCTACTTAATTTCTTAAAAATTCTAGATTTTGAATTGTGATCTATGTTGTTAATGAGGACTCAAGCCTGTTCAGTTTCCTTCAAATATCCACTTAAGTTTCTGCTAAAAGTATAATGGCAGGGGCGCCTGGGTGGCTCAGACAGTTAAGTGCTCAGACCATGATCTCAGGGTCCTGGGACAGAATCCCGTATTGGGCTCCCTGCTCAGTGGGGAGCCCGCTTCTCCCTCTGCCTGTGTCTCTGCCTCTCTCTGTGTCTCTCATGAATAAATACATAAAATAAAATTTAAAAAAAGAAAAAGATAGATGTGTGCCACCAAGGGAGTATAAAACAACACTTCCTTTCCTTAGATGCCTTTGACTAAATGCACTTGGCCTTCACTTGCACTTCTGGCCCTAAGGAAAAATATGCAGAGAATTCATGGTAACAGTGCTCCTTGCAGCAGCATTTAGAGTAGCAAGAAAGTGGGAAGTTGCCTCAATGTCCAAGGGGTAGTTATGGGAAAGTTTAAATTATTACAGCCATATGATAGAATGGTAGCCATAAAAACAAGTGTGAGAAGTGAATGAAATTTTCACGTGGAAAAAATGTTTATGGTATGAAAAGAGAACAGGATCTGAGATTATAAACAACATGATCAACCATATATACAATTGTATGCACAGAAAAATGTGTATAGCAGCTTATTCTAAACTGGAAAATTCTGCGATTTTGACTTTTGTACAAAGAACAGGATTTCTCTGATATGCAGGAATAGTGTTATTTTTTACATTGAGAGCCTATTATCCCTTTTAGGTGATCATAGCTCTATTTTACTCTGGCTCAGAGGGGAAAATTGGACAATTATTTGGTTGTGTTTATATAACCTGCAAACAAGCCGAAATCTTGTCCTTGTTCTCTCGTTGGTGACCACCTCCACAGAAGCCGAAGTGTGCCTGGAGAAGCTGTTTTCTTGGGTTTGGAGAACATCATTCTCAGAATGTGTTTGAACTAGACAGATGAAAACGAGTCTTCCCAAACACTCTGTGACTGGAAAAGCTGACTTGGAAAGCAGTTATTTGGGGATCCCTGGGTGGCTCAGTGGTTTGACGCCTGCCTTTGGCCCAGGGTGTGATCTTGGAGTCCTGGGATCAAGTCCCGCATCAGGCTCCCTGCATGGAGTCTGCTTCTCCCTCTGCCTGTGTCTCTGCCTCTCTCTCTCTGTCTCTCATGAATAAATAAATATTTTTTAAAAAAGGAATGCAGTTATTTAAAAAGCAATCTCAGAAGACAATTTATGATGTTTTAAAAAAAATCGATATAGAACTTAATTCAGGAAAAAAAGAAAGTGACCTAATATAGCTTAGGCTTTGTCCCATGGCTTATAAATACCAGGTGTTCACTGGAAAATTTTACAACTATCTTTGTCAATCACCTTCTGAATTATTTTCTTATTGCATTGTTTGTTCTTATAATCTTTCATTTTATTAAAATGAATTTTTAAATTAATAAAAATCAGAACTCATGCAAACTATTATTTTAAAAGTACAGGTTTGATTTTATCACATTTTCAAGTGCTGGTCTACTGTCTTAAGGTCTGTAAGAAAAAATTTTGAAAAAGGTAATGGTTTCTTCATATACCAATTAATGTATGGTTAAATAAACTGGAATCCAAAGCTTTTGCTAAAAATACAAAATTTCCCCTGTCCATTTATGGACAGGAAAAATTCCATATGTGGAAGAACATAAATACTAAATGCTTTTCTTCTTACACACATGGAGTCATTGTGCACCCGCAGCTGACGGGGGTAAACAGCATGCACTCTTGAGACAACAGAACATTACTTCTGCATCTGCATCAATACTGCATCGCTGTGACTCACCCCCCAAGTATCCAGGAGACAACACTGGCCGGCCGCAATATGCTGCCTCTCTACTTTGATTAACTGCAGGAAAGGGGCCACCGTGTTGGTTAGTGGGGAGGTGACAAAGTGCCAGGTCTACCGACGGAGAACAGTAGTTTCCAACGTTTTGACATAGCTGACTCTCCCTTCTCACAGCAGGAACTCGGGGCTCGGGGGTGTGCAGCGTCCCTGTGTGAACCCTGATGAGTGCAACCAACAAACACAGATTTACCCAAACATCTCAATTTATTGAGGTCCTTCTTTTCATTTAAAAGGCAGTACCACTGATTTAAACAAACATGGGGGGATCCCTGGGTGGCGCAGCGGTTTGGCGCCTGCCTTTGGCCCAGGGTGCAATCCTGGAGACCCGGGATCGAATCCCACGTCGGGCTCCCGGTGCATGGAACCTGCTTCTCTGTCTGCCTGTGTCTCTGCCTCTCTCTCTCTCTCTCCGTGACTATCATAAATTAAAAAAAAAAACAACAACATGGATGTCTGGTCTTCTCTCGGGCTCCACGCACATCAAATGGTGGGGTTTCCATGTCTATTTGATCATTTAACTTGTTGACTAAACTTAGAACAGCAGCTTGATCTGGGTGATGAAGGATCTTGGGCTGCCATGTTCTGCCCTCAGGCTCTTGTCCCATCCCAGAATCAGCCCTGCAGGGTTGGGGGTGGGGAGGAGGGACAGCCGATTCCTCAGGGCCCGCCAGGAATGTGGCCAGAACAGGTTAAGCTGTCCACCCTTTGCAATGTTCACAGCTCCTAAGCAGCAGCTCCTACCCAATACCAGACGTAGGGGTTTATAAACTGAAGGCGAACTGGCTCTGATTCAGCAGGACAAGTGTGGATAATTTACCGGCTGACTTAGGGCAACAATCCTAAGACAAAATGGGAAAACAAAGGCACCTCATTGTCCAATCACAATATGCTTACGTAATCAGAATATTCTGGAAATAAAATATGCAGATGTATCCTAATAAAATAAAGTTGTGCATCTCCATATGTCACGTAGACACAAATCCAGTCTGAGAGCTAAAGCCAAGCATGTATCTGCATCTTCAAGATGAAGTGGGACATGTCACTGGGAAAGAAATGTCTGCATTGCGGGGTCAGAGCAGACCCTCGGGAGCCACGGTGAAATAGGCTGAGCACTTAAGGCACATGCGTCTTCTTTATGGGATTATAGAAATATATGGTTTCAGATGGAAACTACTAGTTGCCCTCCCCAATCTCTAGTTCATCCTGACTCATGTTTTGATTGAAGACTAACCTGAGGGGTGGTGGTGAAAAGTCCTTTAATAAAAGCCAATTTTTAAATAATAGAGCTTGTCATTTAAAGTGTGCGCTTCCTGAGGAATTATGATAATTGTCCCAGTTAGTGTGTTCAGAAGAGATCATTTGTAAGAGTCCTTTATTGTCCCTGCAGGCTTCCCTCTAGCACAGAGGCAGGGGTCCCCACGGTGAACAAATACAGGATTGCCCTTTTCAAGATTAAAGCAATCAAAACACAGGCGGAAGGCAAACCTTTAGTTTCCTAATGACGCCCTTGCCCCTTGTTCCGAAACAGGATCCTCAACCCCAGCTTGCACCATGAGGTCATTTACATTCTTCTGTAGATCCTCGAGGCGACTTCCCATTTCTTCCAGTGCAACGTTAAGGGGAATTGTACACAAGGTCAGAACACCGGCCTGAAAGTCCCAGGAGACCGACTTCAGGTCACACCTGCTGAGAAAGATGCCTCAGCAATGCAACCTTTAAAATGAGAGAGTCAGGCGGCCTGTATGTACCTTATGGTGCAAAGTAACCATTCCCTATGGTTTTATTTTAAATATTTTATTTATTTATTCATGAGGGACACAGGGAGAGAGAGGCAGAGACACAGAGGGAGACGCAGGCTCCATGCAGGGAGCCTGACGTGGGAATTGATCATGGGATTCCAGGATCATGCCCTGAGCCAAAGGAAGGCACTCAGCCATCCAGGCGTCCCTCCCTACAGTTTTTTTTTTTTTTCCTACGGTTTTTGTAGCCTGTTAAACCTTGGAACTGAGAGCTCAGTTCTAAATGCTTGGCTCCCCGTGTAGGATTCATCTGTTGTAACCAGATTCTAATGAATATATGTACATATAATGGAAGTTAATTTTGTTTAAAACCAACTTTCCAGGCAGCCCTGGTGGCTCAGCGGTTTAGCGCCGCTTTCAGCCTAGAGCATGATCCTGGAGACCCTGGATCGAGTCCCACATCGGGCTCCCTGCATGGAGCCTGCTTCTCCCTCTGCCTGTGTCTCTGCCTGCCCCCTCTCTCTGTCTCTCATGAATAAATAAATATATTTTTTAAAAAAGCCAACTTTCCTACAGTTTAATTTTTATCATGTTTTAATATTTTTTCCCTATGAAAACCCATCTACAGAATCAAAAGTTGAAGTAAACGGTCCCGTAAGCAAATACTTTGCCTATAATTTCTAAGGAGTGAGTTTAACTGTGTAGAGTGAGCTCTAGTGCACCAAGTCTTAGGGCAGATGTTACCATTATCTGGATTTGCTCAAAATAGAACAAACGTTCTACCCTAATTCTTGAATTCACATCTTTTTTTTTTTTTAAGATTTTATTTATTTATTCATGAGAGACACAGAGAAGGAGAGAGAGAGAGAGGCAGAGACACAGGCAGAGGGAGAAGCAGGCTCCATGCAGGGAGCCCGATGTGGGACTCGATCCAGGGTCTCCAGGATCACGCTCTGGGCTGAAGGCGGCGCTAAACGCGGAGCCACCCGGGCTGCCCTGAATTCACATCTTAAAAAAAACAGTGAGCTGCTACAGTTGCAAAACAAAACAAAGGTTGGGAGAGCCAGATGCAGTGTCCTATGTTGAAGACATTCCATGTCTTGTTTGCAAGTTTCTGGTTGCTTCTAGGGTATAAGTGTTCCTCAGCACACTACCCAGATTTATCTAGGGCTGATAAATAGGGCTCCTATGTATTTGTTTAGGGTGATTATTCGTGGAAACGTCCCAGGGGCAGCCTTGTGCCTGTGCCCTTACGTCTATCCCTGTCACACACGGTGCCCTGTCCTGCTGGTCCCACAGGACATAGTTCCCTGTGAGCAGTACTTAGTACATCGGGGTACCAAACGTAGAACCAGGAAATCCTAGGTCACTAGCAGACAAGAAGATATTGCACGATAATTTTAGAGTTCAAAAGCATCATGGCACGTGTTATAAGCTAGAAAAGGATATTTCTGAGGTTTAACGTTGCAATCAGAGCTTGAAAATGTTCTTGAAGTTCCTGAAATAGATTTTCTGCCTGAAAAAAATGAACCATTAGACAACTGAATGTAATACTTACTTTTTTTTAGTCTTTTGATGAGATTTAATTTAATTAGATCTATTGCCGTCCTTTTGTTTGTTTTTTTCTTTTTAAAATATTTATTCTTGATGTAGGGCACTTGGCAATCATGGAAAAGAACCGTCCTTAATTATTTGTTTATATAGTTAGATTTTTGACAAGATGCCAAAGCTTTTCAATTCAGAGGGTAAGGAAACTCTTTTCAGGAGCATGGGGCATGAGGGAGCTGAACATCACCACCCAGCAGGCCTGACCCTGCCTCACAGCTGCACAAAAACAACTCTGGATGATGTGAGCAGAAAATGTACCAAAGGTCCCGGAGGACATAGGTGATCGTCTCGGTAACTTGGGTCCTGGGTGGGCTGAGCCTGCACCTAGAACACCACCACGTAACAGACCCCACAATGGGGGGACCCCGTAGATGGTGTACTGACCCCACACCTGGGGGGACACTGCAGATCCCATTCTGACCTCACACTGGGGGGACCGTGCACACCCTGAACTAACATACAGAAATACCAGGGTCGGTAGTGAGATCAGCCACCTGTGCCTTTTGGTTTATGGCTTGGAACAGAGGCCTGGGGCCCTGGATTCGGTGCTCACAGGGGTCACTGCATCCATCGCAGACCGGAGGGCAGAGGCGGGTGTCCTAGAATCTGCACTGATCTATGGAGATGCCTGGAATCCAGAGCAGTTCCTCAGGGGGTTTGGGGTTTTTAACCGTTCTCAGGAGAATGCAGACCCACGAACGTACCACAGGTAACACTCTTCATGGAGACAAGGGAAACAGACTTTGAATGTAGCTTCCTGCTAGAGAAGGGGTGGGTGGGAAGGGCTTACCGTGGGGGCGTGCCGCGTGTCCCCAGCCGCGCCCACCCCGTCCCGCCCCCAGACCTTCAGGGTGCGGCACCCGAGGGGCGGATGAGGACCGAGGGGACCGCACTCACCGTGTCCCGCCGCGCATCCCCGCCTGGGGCTTTGGGTCCCCGCGTGTCCATGTCCAGTGGCTCCCCTAGTCCAGGTGGGTCCCCTGGTCCGGGTGGGCGGGGGATCCGGGCGGCAGGGCTGCCTCGCGTCTGTCTGTCCGTGGGGAGACGCTCCGGCTGCGGCGGGGACACTGGGGAGCCTGGACGCGGGCAGCAGCTCACCAGCCTGGTCCCGGGAGGGAATTCCTGGGCAGGGCGCGGTGCGCGTGGGGGCGGGCGGCCCGGGGAGGGAGGAGACCCGGGAGGGCTGTGAGGAAGCTCCTCCAGGACCGGGGAGGGAGGGGCGGCTGCGGGCTGCGCAGGGGAGGGTTCGAGGCCTCAGAGACCAGACCTGGGAGTGAGCCCTTACTGCCCTGGAGACACACGGTGTGACCTCTCCTGTGCCCCCGCCTGTGTGCATAGCAGTGGCTGTGAGCCGGGGGTCAGGCAGCCCAGCGACTGTGGCGCCCCACCCCCCTTGCCCAGAGCCCCTCCTCTCCCATAGACCTCTGCACCCAGGAGAACTGGACCCCATGCCCACCCCCCCAGAGCCCCTCCTCTTCCGGAGACCTCTGCACCCAGGAGACCTGGACCCCATGCACCACCACACCCAGCAGGGCACCCGCCCTCCCGCCTTCCCTTGGCTTTTGGGTGTGGGGTTGCCTCTCTAGGGGGCCGAGGAGGCCACACTCCGCCCCAGCAGCACCCCGACAGCCGGAGTCCCTCATCTCTCTCAGTCTCTGCCATTTCCATGGTCAGCCTGACACTCAGTCCTCACCCACCGCCGCTGGCTCTCACGTCCCTCTTGGTTTTACCAAAAATCTGGAAGGAGCATCTCATGACTCACGTCCCTCTGGGAGCCTTCAGCACTGCCAGCTTTGTGGCACCCCAGGGCCCTGGTTACCTGACTAGACCCTCCACACCAGGGTTCATGTGGCAAGGCTGCATGTGTCTGGGTCACCCCCATGTCCCAGGGGCCTTGCTGAGTGGCAGGCAGCACCTGGATGCCTGGGCTGTGGGATGTGTGTGTTGAGATGCCCAACATGCCTCACCACCAGGAGAATGCACATCAAACTGCAGGGAGACCCCACCTCACGACCCCAAGGTCAGAATCCCAGACAATGACAGGTGACGGCAAGGCTGTGGCAGATGGATGCGCTCCTCCATGGCCCTGCCACCCACATGCAGACTCACAGTCCACACATGTCAAACGTAGAGTTACTGTGTAACTTCAGTTCCACCTCTAGCTACGTATGCGGGAAATGACCACATGCCTGTGACTCAGATGTTCACTCAGCGTCATTGACAACAGTTAGACGTGGAGCTATATGCCTGGCAGGCTCTGTCCGCACGTGGGACTGCATCTCCTGGTGTGAGCCCAGCCCCACATTCGGCACACAGATGACTTAAAAATAAAACATTAAAAAATAAAAGGTGGAAAGAGCACAGAAGTCTGCCACAGACAACGAATGGACCAACAGATGTGGTCGGTCCGCACGGTGGATGGTGTTCAGCCCAAGGAGGAGTCCTTGGGGTCATGCTGTGTGATCGCGGCTGCACGGCAGGACTCCATGTGTCTCAAGTGTCCACGGTGGGTAGATCGGTGGAGGCAGGTTGCTGGGCACTGGACGGGCTGAGGGAGGGGCAGCTAGTCTCGAAGGGGCTTCCTCCCCGGGGGCAGAGAGCATGGAACATCAGATGAGGGCTGTGCTCAGCCCCCCGAATCAATGGCAACGCAGCGGCTGCATACGTGAGGGTGGCCATGTAGGGCATGAACTGTCTCAACAAGCCGAAGTCATGGCTTCCTTGGAGTGAGGCCACATGACTGCTCCTGAGCTCTGGCAGCTTCCCTGGGAGGGCCGAGGAGGACAGGCACAGGTACCCATGGGTGTGCAGGGCAAGTGCAGTGCAAGCCTTTGGGCTGTGCTCGGGTCCCAGGACGTGCCTGTGGAATCCTGTCCATCAGGTTCTGGTCTCTCAGAAGAGGAGGCTGGCGGGTAGGCCACGAGGCCCCAGGGAGAACCTGCTAGAAAACCTGCAAGGCCGGGTGGGTCGGGCCCGGTGGTTCTGAAGGCAGGACCGGCCTGCTCTGCAGGGCAGTGGCCTCATGCCTGAGGGGCTGGACTCGGGAAGGCAACAGTGGGTCCCAGCCACAGGTGCGGGGTCGCATGATTGCTGGACTCCTGCCCCACACTGCCTGGGCTCCTGTCCATGGGGCCCCTTCCTGTGGGCTCCTGTCCGTGGGGCCGCTGGCTTGCCCCCCCCAGCTCCTCCTCCCAGGGAGCCTCAGGGAGCCTGTCCAGCCCACGCCTAGGAGTCTTTGGGGTTGAGCTTCCCCACAGGCAATGGAGGAACAAGAGTCATCCCTGAAAATAGATGGTCCCCTCTCCAGAGTGTGGCTGTAGGTCGGGGGGTCCCATGTGCGGCTCCTGGTGGATCTGATGGCTGTGACCCAGGCCCACCCTCAGGAGGCCAAGCCTCAGAAACTCCCCTCACGGTCCGAGGCCTGGGCAGCTCCCTACAAAGGACAGGGGTCAGAACCCGTATCTTCACTGTGCTGGGACTGGTGAGAAACGGGTGAGGGTTCACACAATCAGCACGCGAGAGAGGCCACTGGGTAGAGAGGAAGATTCTAGAAGTGGAGCTGGGGGTGGGGGGCAGGGGTGGGGTCTCTGCAGTTGTGCAGGGTCTGGGCCATGATACAGCAACTCCAGCGGGTTCTCCAGCCACAGCAACCTGGAGGCGTCCCAAGCCCAGGAACCTGCATTTCGAGGATGCACTGCATCACATCTGCAGCCAGGCTGCGAGATAGGCCTGGGCCAGGAGGGGTGAGCCCAGGACGGGGTGGCCTCTGGCAGAGGGGTGGCGGTGCATCCTGTGGGGCTTGTGGACCCTCCGAATCCCCTGCAGGACGCAGCTGGGGGATGAAGGCAAGGCCACCAACCAAGGCCAAGGGGAAGAGCACCAGAGCGGGGACACCCACTTGCCATCTGTGGAAGAGGAGCCAACACTGGTGACTTCCACTGTCTCCTCCATCTCCACAATAACCTACGAAGGCAAAGACTGTTGCCACGTCGCACACAGAGTTGTCTGAGGTGGCTGCGCAGGGGGTGGGGCACTGAGGAATGGCAGACAACCCGATAAAAATGGGCATCGGGCTCAAGCAGATGCCTCTCCTAGATGTGTGAGTGGCCACCTTACTGGTCAGCGGGGCACAGATGCATCCTGGGGCTATCTGTGGTCATCAGGAAGCAGAAGCCATGAGGAGCCTGGGCCACCGCAGCCTGAGGAGGAGGGGACGTGGTTCCCCGGGACACGGGAAACAGAACAGCAGCTGGCAGCAGCTCCACTTCTGGGCCAACAGGGGCTGGAAGGTGTGTTTGCAGGGTGACATGGGGACGATTCCTTCCCGAGAACGTGATGGGAGGCGCCTCGACGGGGACAACCTGAAGGCCAGGTGCTGAGGGGAAGGGGCCACCACGCGGGCGTGACTCCAGAAAGGCCAGCGGCAGAGTCCAGTTGGCGACACTGGCCACGGCATGATGCTCAGGAACCCAGTACTTAAAAATGATTAAAATAGTAACATTTGACATTATGTCTATTTTACCACAATTTTAAAAAATCCATTTTGCCAGCTTGAGGGGCACTAGGGTGGCCTTGTCAGGTCAACTCAGGTCCTGACCTTGGGTTGGTGGCTGGAGCCCTGGGTTAGGGCCGGCCTGGGATTCTCTCCCCCTCTGCCCCTCTGCCATGCAAATAAGAAAGGAAAATCCTATTAAAAATTTCTAAGAAAAGAAAGGTTCTTTTGGCGTATGGATTGTGGTACACAGATTTGAGTGCGGAACATTTTGCTTCTTTTTACTCTAAAATAGTTGCAACATTTTCATAATTTTTAAATAATTTTAGTTTTCATTATTTTTTTCATGTTTTAATGTGACATTACCCACTATTTTTTGACCCACCTATTATTTATCGTGGACCTCTGGCTCCCACAACAGTACATACCCGCCCTGGGGAGCAAAGACCCAAGCCTCGTGGACTGCACATGGGGGCCTTCCAGTGGGGGCCTTCTCAGAGGCGGCAGTGCCTGTGGGTCAGTGCCCCGGGAGTCTCAGTGCGACCCCGAGGGCAGAGGCTGCGCAGTGAGGTGGCCTGGAAACAGGGCAAGAGGAGCAGAGGTGAGGCCTCCCTTCGAGCAGAAACCTTCATTTTCTGTAATTTGGATGTGGACTAATGTGCCCTGTGAGTTATCTAGACTTTGAATCAAGACAGATTTTAGAAACATTCTTCCGCGTCTCTGGTTCATCCCATGGATTTTCCATCTCCGTCACTGTACTTCCAGCTCCAGAACTCCTGCTTGGTTTCCTCTTCTTCCTTCTCCACTGCTTCTTCTTCTTCCTTTCTCCTTTTTCTTCTTTTCTTCTTTCTTTCTTTTCTTTCTTTCTTTCTTTCTTTTTCTTTCTTTCTTTCTTTCTTTCTTTCTTTCTTTCTTTCTTCTTCCTTCTTCTCCTTCTTCCTTTCTCCTCCTCCTCCTTCCTTCTCCTCCTCCTCCCCCTCCCTCCTCTTCTTCCTTCTTCTTCTTCTTCTTCTTCTTCTTCCTTTCTCCTCCTCCTCCTTCCTTCTCCTCCTCCTCCCCTCCCTCCTCTTCTCCTCTCTTCTTCTTCTTCTTCTTCTTCTTCTTCTTCCTTTCTCTCCTCCTCCTCCTTCTTCCTTTCCTCCTCCTCCTCCCCCTCCTGTTCTTCTCTTCTTCTCTCCTTCTCCTTCTCCTCCTCCTCCTCCTTCTTCTTCTCCTCTCTCTTCCCCTCCTGTTCTTCTTCTTTCTTCTTCTTCTTCTTCTTCTTCTTCTTCTTCTTCTTCTTCTTCTTCTTCTTCTTCTTCTTCCTCCTCCTCCTCCTCCTCCTTCTTCTTCCTTTCTCCTCCTCCTCCTTCTCCTCCTCCTCCTCCCCCTCCTGTTCTTCTTCTTCTTCTTCCTTTCTCCTCCTCCTTCTTCCTTCTCCTCCTCCCCCTCCCTCCTCTTCTCCTCCTCCTCCTCCCCCTCCCTCCTCCTCCTCCTCCTCTTCTTCTTCTTCTTCTTCTTCTTCTTCTTCTTCTTCTTCTTCTATTTACTTATTCATGAGAGACACAGAGAAAGGCAGAGACACAGGCAGAGGGAAAAGCAGGCTTCCTGCCGGGAGTCCGGTGTGGGACTTGATCCCAGGACCCTGGGATCATGCCCTGAGCCGATGGGAGATGCTCAACTGCTGCGCCACCCAGGCGCCC